CGCTTCCTTAATTGCATTAGTCATTTATGCAGTATAAACGTTACACAATTCTTAATTAGAAATTGATAATCCTATACCCTAGAGTATCATATATTAATTAATAAACACATCAATAACATGTGATTAGTAGCAAATCCAGCAATTTCGCTTCTAAAATAGACAAACTAACTATAAAGAGGAACTATCTTCAACTAAATTGTGTGATATTATGTCTACGTTCAATATCTATTGTTGAATTAAAAAAAAAAGTTGTAATTTAGTTTGTTTTATTTTATCTCTAATAAAATGTTTAAAAAAATGTTACAAATAAATAAAACTGAAAACTATGGGTTTTTAGTTCCATCTAAGAATATATGATACCCAACTAAATCGCATGTTTCTTCTTTCTCATATCTCATCTTCTTTATTTGTATGGATCAAAGTAAAGAAAAGAAAAAAAAGTACATATCAATTTATGAAAGCTTTCGCACGATAACTTTTGTACGGATTTCAAGCTGGAGCTGATCGTTGTTATATAGTATTACATATCTAGATAAACAATAATTATAAATTATATTTTATATTTATTGGAAAACGTCCATTAATCATTCTAGTTATTAACTAAGTAAGTAAAAAAAATACTCAAAATAGAACTTATTCCTTTTGATTATCTTAAAAAAAAATATGAAAAATAATAATAAACCAATTTGGTCTTATGAAAGTGAATTTCTACAAAATAAAAAACCGAAACAAGAAATATAATTAAATTAATTATATCATAATATAATGAATTATGATTGCAACTAAATTTGTTTTATCTGGTATTTTACATATTTTTTACCAACAAAACGAATATAGTTTCACATGATAATATCACAAAACAAATATTTTGTAACATTATTGATAAAAAAAAACTTAAAATGTTGCCCCCCTTTTTTTGGTTATTTAACAGTTATTTCGATACTAATGTACACAAGAAAAACAATTAAAATAATGCCGAACTTATTTATTGAGTCATTTTCAAGTTGTGTCGTTATAAAATCAAAAAAGCTAGTTAAAAAATAAAATTACTTCATACATTTTTCTCTACTTTAGAGATAGTTTTTTAATTGATGACACTTAAAAGAGATTAGTTAAAATAGCATTAACTGTTGGTCTTTGTAGAATTTTAACCGACATCGTTATTTTTTAGATGCACAAAAAGTGTTTGTTTGTACATTACAAACATCGCGAATTTCTAAGATCCCTCAATTAAAGTTAATACAGATAATTAGCTAATAGCTGTCGTTGTATTTAGGTCAGTACTGAAAAGTGATGCTCCACACTCGTTTACTGTGGAAAACGGTTTTACATCGAAACGTCATCTTGTCCATTACTGCACTCGTTTATGTCTCCTTATCTTTTAAACAAAACCTCTTCAGCTGTGCGGTATAATTTTCCGTGGAATGCTCAGTGTTGTAAACTCGAAATCCTGAGATAAGAAACGGCATTTAAAATATCCAAATAACAATTCAGCGTGATAGGCAAGCAGCGTAATAGGGCCTAAACTAATTGCTTACCAACTTACAGAACCGCCAAAAGTTCTCGGTTTCATCCGAATTTCGTCGCGAGATAAGAATAACACATAAAACCTATTAACGGCTATCATGGGCATGGCGAAAACAAATTGATTTTCCATCAGCATAGGTTTACTTTCACAACAAAATTAACATTTTAAGACAAAAACATCGGCTAAATTGCCTTTTCTCGGTTTACGCACGATCAAGATAACCTAAAGTTTTACCATAACAATACAACACGTACATACACCTAATAATGTATTTAATGAAAACTGGTTATAATTCATACGCATCGTACATTTTTAGCATGTATAATGTAAAACAATAATTTGAATTGCAATACTAGTTATAATTATTAGGTAACTAAGATGTTACTTGAAACTGTAAAATATTTATAACTGGATTTTAGAGATCCGATATTCTTAACTTTCTATTTATCGTGCTGCAACAATAATATGATTTAAAGTTTTAAGTAGGTATAAAACGGGTTTCATTTTTACCTATTATAAAAGTTGACAAAATGCTGAAAAACTTAAATAAAAACCATTCCACCATATATTAAAGGTTCATTGGTTTTTATCTAAAATCTAATAATATTTCTCAGAAGCTGATAAATTAAGAGAAACTATTTTAATTATGTATTTTTATTACTAGGTTTATAAATATGTTCATCCAGTAAAACTAAAAAATGATGGTTTGACTTTGTTTTAACAATTTATTAAACAGAAAATTTATATTAGTTTAATTTTCATGATGGCAACAGTTACATATAGTATTAAATCAAAAGTATGTAGGTAGGTACCCATTTACAGATTGAATTGTAGTCACATAAAGTAGACATTATACATTTTTTATTGTGTATAATGTAAAAGAATATATTTATGGAATTTTTTCAGCTACTCATTTATACATTTTGAACGGGAACTTTTCAAAGCAATTTTTAACTTTATATCAGATACGAAGAAAAACATCCACCCTTAAAAACAATTGTAGTTTTATAGGTCAAGATAATCGTTTGAAAGAGTGCACATTTTAATACATGTATTTAAACTGAAGAGCGTTTATAATAGTGAACCTTGACATTTTATGAAAATACACTTAACGACGCGACGTGTATGTAGATGACAGCGTTCTTAAAAACCAAGATCACTTCAGAATAATTATTATTTTCATACAACTATCTTGTTTTTTGTAAATATTACAAAAAGCAACGAAATATTCAATTTGAAAAATGTAATAATTTATGTTTATTAAAAAACATATTATTAACGTCAGATTTCAAGCAACCAAATAACATTATAAGTGTAAGCGATCTGCAAAAAAGTAAAATTGTAAGTAATAAACTTATCGCATACATATGCAACAAAATCGTAACTAGCTGTAATTTTTGACACTACGATTCAATATTAAATGTATTATTAATCTATTAGTTATTATTATGATAGTTTTACACGCTATAATTTATATATATATATATCATTATGAGGTAAATGTTTATTAGGTAATAAGCCTTTTATATCGACCTGAATAATAATAATAATGTGTTGTCGGTCATTGAACCTTTAATATTGAATTCAATTTGACCAAACCTCCAAAATTAGTCCAACGGCAATATTAATGACCGATTGGCCAACAGAGCCTATAATAATCCTTGTCAATGATTTATTTCGAAAAACCTATCAATGAATACTATATTTCACTTAATTAGCATTAACGAGCAACGAGAAATAATTTAAGAAAGGTATCTCGCTATTTTTGTTGTTCAAGAGATCTTGGCTGACACTTGTGCGAAATATGTTTAAATTTTCAGAAGATATTATGCACTAACAAGATTTACAAGAGGACAACCCTTATACGTTTACTTTTACTCTTATTAACGGCGTTGAATTTGTATGAATCTGCCATCGTCAATACATGGCTAACCATGTTAAGAGTTAACGAAACACCGCAAAACTACAATCAAAAGATGAGTTACCTAAACTTGTCAAGATACTACAAAGATCGTTAAGCATGAAAAATATAATATACTGTATCAACGTTCAATGATATCATTAGAGATTTTACCAGTCAACGACAAAATGTAAAGCAGCCAAGAGGACCATATTGTAACAAATACAAAGTTTCCAGAAGACTAACAACCCGATTTATATTTCACTACAAGCCAAAACTTTGTTCTGAAAATATTGAAAAAACGGTCGTATATTTTAATATTACATTTTATTAAAGTTGTTTTTTTTTTTTTTTTAGTATGTACTTAATGTCATATCCGTTTTGTTGATGTGTTTTTTTTAACGTAAAAACCCTACCCATATAAATTATAACATACGACTAGTTTTTGCAACGATTCATTGTCGGTTAAAACTTGTTGACAAATATAAATTTTACTCTCTATCCTCTCGAACAAACGCTAGAAACTTACAAGTTACATTTTACTTTAGTTATTATTTTACACACGTTACGTGTATATTTCTGCTGAAAAAATCAAATGAAAATCGAATATTCAAAGAACAGTAAACGTACCAAGAACCGTTTGTGAACTTTAAATTGGGCGTTTAAAATACCACAATACTAAAACAGACAACTAATTACTTTTGTATGACTATGTTGATAAAATACATCCCGTTCTTCAACAAAACTTTCAAGCTCATTTTTATTTAAACAATGAAGAATCGATAAAACCAGAGTTTATAGTATTTATTATTTAAAACCCAGAATAAATATTTATAATAACTCAAAAATATTTTCAAATCATTTACAACTCAACCTTTATATATTATTAAGACCGTTTAAAAACGTTTCGTAGGTCCAAATCATTTTATATCTATAAATGTTAGCTTGTTATTATATATATAAGGGGAGATTACTATACTTTCAACTCTATTCAAACATGTTGTGCACATATTCTGCTATACCAATCTGGTAGTCTCCGTAACTAGCTTTTACGATAACAACTATTAACCGTCCTACCAGAATGAATTTTTATCAAATAAATTATTTGAAAGCTGTAATATTAATAAGTGTGTTAGACTAGACCGACACTTTCAAGTTTTATTATAATTTTTTCATCTAAACAATTCCGTGACGTCTTGATTGAAGTAATTAAAGAATTAGAAAACACAAATTTATAGTAACCCAAACCACAGCCAAACTCATTTGTCGCTGTTTATAACTGTAACTCTGTACATTTGCATTAGTAATACATTTATATTTGATATACTTACTTACTCGAATATTAGAATTATTAATCATCACTATACACAAGTCCGGATTTATTATAGTATACATATTGTATTATAGAAGACTGGGTGTACGTTTTTCTAATCATCTAATCATCTACACAAAACGGTTCGTTGTATAGAGCTGCTACAAGCCTAGTCGGATTAAGCGTGGCCGGAGGAGATAGGGTATTGTACGTATGCTTTATCCAGATTGTTTTAGTAAATACTTGTGTGCGTATCTTACCTATGTGTTGTGCATCGTCTCCGTTCGGCAATCGTGGACGTGTGTAAAGCGCGTTGTCGACGGAAAGCCCCGTTTTGTTATTTGAACGTTGTTTGGATCCCGTCAAATATGGTCAAAGTGAATAAGTGCGAAAGGGATGTAATATGTTTTTTTACGGGTTGCAGCAGTTGCCGGCGGAGCTACACTGCACTCCCCAAGGCATTTTGAACGGCACTGAATGTCGGTGGCGTACACGCGGCAAACGTCAGCTGCTTTCAGCGCTCACGCGGTTAAGGCGACTGTGTATAATATACAGTGATGGCAGCCGATTGGAAACAAACGCGATACCGTTGATGTTTTTTTTTTCTCCGACCCGAGTTGTTTTTTAATCTGTACAAACATACGGCAGAGCCGGAGAGCACGGACATTTAAAATGACACATATGCATGCTGTTGACGCGCTGGAAAACGACACGAGATTTCGGGCAATATATCACACAACGCGTCTTAAACTTAAAAAATAATAAAAAAATATAACAAATAAACGGTAACGCTAGATAAATAACAATTATAATAATATATTGTGTATAAATCTACACGCCGCACAAAAATAATACAACACACTTTTACCGGGTTGCACTCGCTGTGCCGATAAAATTGCATACTGCCGTTCACGGGTCGCTAAACGATAATCGAGGAACCAATAATAATTGTAAATGGTTTATATTATACCTTTAATACACTTTCGTGCATCCCGACGACATTATCATACAAAACACAATAGGCAATAGTGTAACAATATTGTTGAAAATAGAGAAATACGTCGTTTGTACTATGACCGTGTATGATCTATTAAATATGATCGTGACTTTAACTAGCCACTTGCAACTGAATAAGTCACGCAGTCACAAATGTCACTACTACAATATTAATTACATCACTATTATAATCTCAGATTAGAATAAGCTAATATTAATTAATAGTTATAAAAATAGTAGAATAGAAATCAATTTTTAAAGTTCTTTTTTTTTACTTGTTGATTTATTCAGCAATATCAATATCGTTAAAATAAATATGACGTTTTACCTTCGAAACAAAGCTGTGTTGTTTTTAATTAAAAACGGTAAAGCTTTTTTAATACCTAACTAATGTTACTTATTTTTTTAAAGCAATATTTCAAAACACGAAACGCCAGAACGTACTATTCTCACTTGTGTATTATTTTGTGTTTAAATAAAACAAAATTATGAAAACTAAGATACGCCGATAACTTGATAGAATAACATTGGAAATATATTTTGGACAAAAACAAAAAAGAAAAAAACAACGAAATACTTAAGTACTCTCAAAAAATACTATACGAAAACAATGTCCTGAATCAAATCCAACTGAGACGTTGGTTTCTGTGTTGACATGGTTTAAACGTGGAACACCAGAATGCCATTGTTAACACCAAAATATGAAAACTAGAGAGTTTCAAATCTCTAAACGAGCATGCACAAGTTAGGTTGCTAACGTTGAGAACATCATCATATGGCTCTGATTTATTCTGCAATCAATTACTTAGCAGCATCGTAACGGTCCGAAAAAGCACTGAAATAACATAGTCCAAACATCCGAATAGTGTTTATTTGACTCATAACTGGGTCGATGGTGCCCTAAATATACTCATAGTTGCCACATTAAATTAAAGAGTTAAATGTAATACTCAAGTTGGAGATACAATTAGGGAAAATCACACATCTTTGTTTTACTTAGTAATGGCGTAGGTGACCCTGTATTAAAATTCACAAGGACATCATGTACTTTAAACAAAATAAATTCTAATCGATAAAAACGGACATTGACTGTTTGACAATTCTGTTAGTTACAATTTTCTGTAAATTAGGTAACATTTAAAATTAAGCTACTTGTATTTTTTTTTATTCGTACTGTTTAGCAATTAATGTTTTATAATGTCTTATATCGATTTACTTTTTTTAAACTAGATATTATCATATTCTTTAAATAATATATAAGTAGTGTTTACAAAAAGTAATTTCTGAGCAAGGTTATCTTGAGAAACTTGGACACATATCAGAATTAATTCTTGTGCTATTGTTGTAATAATACTGTTTTGCCGCCCTATTTTCATAATTGTCTGAAGATAGTAGCTTTGGTGCAATACTTGCAATTTGAACAATTCCTAGTAAACTAAAAAACCTGTCAATGTTATTGTTTATTTTGAGTTTATTACTAAACAATTATATTTTTATTGATTTTAAATAATGTGCTTTTTAGTATTTGCATTGAACAGACCAATTATGTCTTTACATTCTAACTGCATTCATATAGATTTCCTCAATAGTAGTGTTAAGTCCATCTAAATATTAGGAAATGTAGTAGTTTCTGTCTACCATTGTTAGTATTTTGATACTTGCTGATGACATGGTGCAGATTTTATAACCTTCACGTTTATACTTTATTGATTTTAGTCATTGTTGTATTGTGTCAGGTGTTATGATTTTTTACATAAATCTGATGTGCGTCCCGTTTTTTCGGAGGTTTATAAATTACTATAAACCTATTTTTTTGGGGCCAGAATAATCTATAAAGTAAACATCCTGAAGTCTTCGACCTACACTGCTGTTATATTTTTATTTTAAAAAAATGTATTAATTTAAAAAATGTGTTTACAGTAGTTTTTTGTTTTCATTCTATTATTTTAATATTTGTTTAACAATTATTAAAAAATACACATTTTTTTGTTGGTAAATATTTGTCTTATTATTATTGTTTTTATTATTATTTTAAGCCTATTTCATTGTTTATCCAGGCCTGATTATCAGTGTTTCTTAAAAGTTATAATTTGAAACACAACTCACACTAATTGTCGGCAAGTAAAATACTTATACAGTTATTTTAAATGATGTAACAGCTGTTAAAATTATCTCTTAAAATATCTGTCACATAATATGTTTGTTCTAACAAAAAAAAAAAATACAATAAAACACATAGCATATCAATTCGTCAATTTTCATCGTTTAAAACAAAAGTAAGCAATACTCTCTAACAAAAACAATATTTCTTTTAAATATAATTGGTACGAATACAGACTATAAAACCGTATTTGTACATGCAGTTTATAACCTATTAAAAGTTACAACAAAGTAAAAGATATAATCACTAGGTACGAATCAACACATAAAATATAATACATACTTTGTACACTATACACTATAGTCTATACTATACTATATGTATATTATACATGATACATAGCAATAACTGAGAAAATCATTACAAATTATAGAGATAACATGTGTATATATTATAATATAATATGTGCATTATTTTAACACCCTACACTTTAAACTGTACTGGTCAGTTGCTACTTGTTAAACAATCGTAAGACTACTAAAAAAAAGTAAACATTTTTTTTTCTATAAAAAATAGTTCATGTAGATTAACTTTTTATATATACTTATGAACATGATACCCTTTGTATGCTTTTGTATCTAAAAAAAATCCCCGTCAAGAAAATCATATGGCTTGAATTTCATTGCTTATTTAAAACTGTATAACGTAACCTGAGCATTTTTTTTGTTACATCATTAAGAGATAAACACAATCAAACTTTTTAACCTCTTAAGCTTTCATTTTTAAAACATTAACTATAACATTTTTATACCAAATTGGAATCATCGGCGTGCATTAACACATTTTCTGCAAATCGATATTAATTTCATTTTCATAATGAAAAACAAATTACATTATATACGTCCTAATACATTTAATTGATTTACTGAAAAAATGTATGGTAAACCTTTTATTTAATTGACTCAGTGCTTAGAATATTGTTGTGTTATCTGATTAATTAGTAGAAAACTGTTCTACAGCGATATCTTTTGATGGGCGCCGGCACTACTACTTTAAGTTCTAAGCACACGATATCGCTTGACTTAGCTGCACAAAAATATATTATAAACAGCCTACAATTTAATTATTTAGGCACAATCGACTTTTCCCTGTTACGATTTGCGTGTTTCGAATGCCTTGTAAGTTGTGGTAATGATATAGGTATGACATTTTTGAATTATTTAACGACTGTGGAATATTGCCTACAAGTATTATAGATGTTCCATGTACAGACAAATATTAGTTCTACCTTATATCGTATCATATTATTATAAAACATAATTGCACACGCAAACCAGACTTTCGCGACCGCACGATATGTGCCTAAAAGAAAAAAATCGTTATTCGTTATCGGTTGTCACGTGTAGTAATAATAACAAATAAAATATTAGTAAAGGACGACCCATGTAAAATAAAAACATAGCCAACTTGTCATAAGCGTAAGAAAATTATGAAAATATTGTAATAGTTTAATTCATTCAAGTTCTTAATTTTGTCGAGAACAAAATACTCAGAGAAAAAGTGATTAGCATGGAAATTACCAGCATAAAATAAAAATAAAAAATTATGACCAGGTTTAAAAAAAAATACTGATAAACAATTCTATATCTCGACTAGTAATTTTAAAAATGATATCTTTTGAATCTCCGTTAGTATCAATTTTTTTTTCAAATTAACCTCAAGTTCATATAATTAGTAATAATAATATAATATAAAGAATAACTATGTGTCTTATTTTTTATGCTGATAATCTCCATGTGGATCACCTTTTTCTAGAGTATTTAATCTCTGAAAAAAAAATAAAAACTTATATGAATTACATTTTTACTTAAAAGCGCTACTACTTACTTTTAAAAATCTAAACCAATTAGGAATTTTTTTTAATAGAACATAATGTTCAAAAAAGAACAACAGAAACGAAAAATTAAATTTTTGGCTAATATAATATAAAATTATTACATACTACTATTTTTATTTAAAAATTAAATGATAATGACTATTAAATGTAAACTTAAGTTTCATATTAATTTAAACGAGAGAACTATGCAAATGATCAGTCTGAATTACTATTCTATGCAGTAGAAAACTCTATAAAATGCACCTTACTTCCTTTGTTTGAATTTAATATTTTATCTTATCAACACAAGATTATTAGTTGTTAAATAAGTAAAAAGAATAAAACCTAAGAGACCCTTTAGAGTTACTCTATATAAATTGTTAACTCTGGTTACAGACGTTGAATAATATAAAAACTTTTAACTTTAACGCAGAGTTGAGCAACTGTGGATGGCTAATTTCTTACCGTAGGTACTGTCTTTTTATACTGTTACTGATTTCTTAGAATCTAGAAAATAAAGCGTTAACAATTCAAATAATTATATTGATCGTCTGAATCTCAAAAC